CACCTGGAGGTGGGGGACAAGGTCCCTCTGAAGAGGATGGCCATGCCCTGTGTCTATCAGCCCTGGGGAGGTGGCTCTGACAGGAGCTGGGGACCTGGTGGGACTGGCTCACCCCACTGGGCAGGGCCCTGAGAAGGGAGCCCCAGGTGGTCTCCACCCTAGAAGGAGCTGGAGACAGATGAACTGGGCCTTCTGCTCTATCCCACTAGCAGTGATTCTGTGTTTATTTCTCTTGTTATCCCAAGTGTTGGTGACTCACCATCTATAGAGATTGGCTCTTAGACAAGGGACTAAAATTTAAAGCAGGATCTAATCCCCTCTTAGGCTGCATGTTACAGAGGAGCAGAGGCCCCCTGAGGCCAGCAGGGAGCCTGGCAAGCCCTGCAGAAATATCTAAGGAGAACCCACCCAGAGGAAGTGACTCACCTACCCCATCTTCCAGGGAGGAAATTCATCTTCCGGCCTATCCTACAGAATCTAGTATTGACTTTATCGGGGAAAACATCGGGTGTCCTTACATGCTGAACAGGATCTATTAGTTAAAAAGACATGATTATCTTGCTTGAAACGGACAAAGACATACGAGCACAGATGATGCTTCACAACACCTTCAGTATGGGCTGCAAAATTTTCCCAAGAAGGGTCCTGAGGCTTCAGGAGATAGTCTTGGTAGCAAAGGTCAGTGTGGATGTCAAGAGCTGCCCAGTCCAATCCTGACCTGCACAGTAGTGTCCTTGGGCAGTTCCAAGGTAAGAGAAAACTGGAAGGGTTTCCTGCCTCCTCTTTGTCTGCTGGATCAGCTCCTGCAGTTTGGCTGGAAAGCCTTCCTGCTTCTTTCCGTCCACCTTGCTGGGAATCCCAGAGACACAAACACCCAGAGTCAGGCACAGCTGGAGCGTGGGGATCCACTGTCAGCCTTGGGCTGATGCCAGCAGAGCCATCTAAGCTGGGCTACCTCTGGCTATAGGCCCCTTCCTCTGGTCTTACTCCCCCCTCCCCACCCATGGCTACATCCAGGCAAGTGGGCCGTGGAGGTGGGGAAAGGAGAGAGGCAGAGAGACTGAGACTGATTTCAACGTGCAGCCACAGTGATCTCTATCTGCACAGCCCCACACGCTGTGAAAAGGGCTTTCTCACTTTCATCTGATCCTCAGCACCTTGGGGAGCACCAGCCCCTTCTAACCAAAAGGGAAACGGAGATTCAAGCAGAAGAAACAAGCCCGCTGTTACTCAGTAAGTGGCTGAGCCAAACCCCGGTGCTAGGGCTGACTCTAGATTCAGTGCTCTTTCCAGGGTGACAGATTGCTTCTATGCACTTCAAAGAAAAGAACCCAAATAAAAAAAATAAAAAAATAAAAAACAGAAACACACACACCCCAACCCAAATCAGAAAAACAGGTATCTAACTTCTCTCCAGCAATATGTAACCCACGAATGCTATATGCAGACTAAGTTCACACAGGCTGTCCCTCAATCTGGGTGCCCTTTCACTTCCTCATCTGCCAGCTCCCTCCTGGGGGGCCAAACCTGAGCCATCACAAATGACATTCTCTGTGCCATGGACCTAGCACACGCTTTCGTGACAAGACTCTTCACACGGCACCACAATGTTTTATTTACATGCCTGTCTCCTCTAAAACACTGTGGGTTCCTTGAAGGCAGGAATGAGTGTATTTTCATCTCTGGATCCAAAACACAAGCAGGGGCAGGCACAGACTGGATGCTCAGTGAATGTCTGGGGAACAAAAGCATGAAAAAGTAAACATTCTCCTAGCAAAACTAGCTGGCTTCCATGGAATGGTCTGGCCCTAAAGGAAGAAAGGTGGGAGGATGCCCTGGCCAGTGGGGGTGTGGCACGGACACCCAGCACCCACCGGGCAGGACACTGCACTCAGGCTGGGAACAAACGCCCTCTACCCTGCAGGAGACCCCCAAGGTGGAGAGGCCTCTGAGCAAGGTCCCAATCACCTAAAAGTCAAGGGACTCCCCCACCCTGATGTCCTACTGCCAAGCAGGGCACCTCTGCCAAGAGCTGCTGGGGATGGATGAGCAGCGAAGACCCCTGACCCGGCTGAAGTCCGAGTGCCCCCTTGCCCGCCCCCAGCAGCTGCGAGTCCTCATGGCTGCTGCTGTCCTAGTTAAAGCAGGGTTTCTCGGACAGCGTCCAAGGAGTCTGGTCTTGCAACAGCACCACGAAGAAGCACTGTGATCAAACGTATGGGAAATACTACGTACTACCTGACCCCCTTATAAGAGGCCCAACACACACGCTGGCGTGCCGAGGGTTCTGAGATGTCCTACAGCAAGACAGCCCAGTAACTGGGCTTTAACCCAGTGCCTGCCAAACCTATTTGATCAGAGCCTCATCCTACTTTCACATATACACTCCCTTTATTTTTCTTTATGAAAAATCCATTAACATCCTATGGAACTAGTGTTCCAAGGAATACATTTTGGGGAATGCTGGTGAAGGTCATCGAGCAAGGGAAACATTTACTGTGGAGGAGAACAGACCCTTGCAGGCAGCCTAGGGATACATGTGAGATGGGAGGGGCTACCAGGAAGGGGGAGATCATGGCCCAGAATGGGTGCCAGGAATCTCTCACCACTCCACAAACTGCCTTAGAACCACTTGAGTCTAGTGAGAAAGACAAGAGAGACACTTGTCCTGAGCCTCAGGTTTCCCGTCTGCAAATTGGGAATCAGCCCAGCTCTGCCTGGTGTCATCGGATGAAATCACGGGATTCTGAACTGTGGAAAGCAGACTCCTCCAGCACAGCCCTTGTATATGATGGATGTTCAAACCTACCTGACAGGAAGCTGCACGAATATAGGGGTTATGAAAAAAACAGGACAGCAGCAAGAGGCAGACACAAAACCTCAAGGCATGTCACCCCAGGGCCACGTATTTCAAGGGCAAACAACCCTAGGCCCACTGATAACCCCTGGAGAGATCAGACCATTACAACAGTGGGAATCCCCAATACTCCCAGCTCCAGGAGTCTACGCAGGTCGGTGGAAAGGCAGGGGCCCAGAGCACACCAGATCCAGTTCTAAGCGAGCTCTGCCCCCTCTGGGCTATGTTGCTGGCACGCAGCTGCACCCTGTCTTTCAGATGTGCAGGATTCTCCCGCATGGCAGTGAGGACGGATGACACTGCAGTCAAGCTGCCACACACAGTAGGTGCTCTATGACTATTTCTCATTAAAGGCCGGGATTTGAGGGACATTTATAAAGATGCCTGTCAGCAAAGGCAAAGTGAAACCTTTTCGCTTCAGTCATGTTGCATGCTGGCAGCTGCCAGTGGGAGGGATGAGAAGATGGAGGTACTGGCCCAACAGGCAGAGGGCGAGCATGAGGTGGCTCTGGGCTATGTGGTCACGACTGCCTCTCAAGAAGCCAGTGGAGGGGACCAGGCCTTTGGCTGGGAGAGGCATAGGAAAGACCGCACCTCCCGAGGACATGTGGCCTGGCAGAGCTTGTGGCAAAGACCAAAACTGTGAAGGCTGCTGTCTACTTCGTGCAGACCAACTGCTTTCTGCACGCTGGCTCTAAGCTCTGGGCAAGAGGCTATGTGACTTGTCCCGGCCACACAGCTGGCCAGCCGAAGGACTGGATATGAACTCTGAGCCCGAGTCCAGAGTACAAACTCTTCCTACTCTGTCATACTGCCTCTCGAGGTTGGGATCGTCTGTTCACATCCTCTCCTGCCTCTCGAGGTCCCCAAGGGTGGGACTGGCTCTAGCTCATCTCTGTATCCCCCGCACTCAGCACGTAAAAGAAATGTAGCAAGCACTGGCCAAACAAATTACTCACTTGAAAACACTTCCAAAAGCTACTGGATTTTAGAAGTCGGGGCGCTGCTGAGGTACTATGACATGGCAGAAAATTACAAGAACTAATTCCCTTCTGAGGAACATAGCATTAACACGGTATACAAGAAATTCCAAATGCTTAGCTCTTTGTCTAGAAAATGTGAGCACCAAAGTCCTTCCACAGTGTAATCTATTAGGGTCTTCTGCTCCCACCTGAAGTGTAGAAAGCCCTACAGTGATACGGGTGAACAGCATAGACTTAGAGCATCATCCTGCCCAAGCCCTGATCTTGCAAGTGACAGCACTTAGGCGAGAAAGAAGGGATCCAGGATCACGCAGAGGGCTTACTCTTGTTTCCTATAGAAAAGGTTGCCCTTGCAACAAAGAAAAATGCATTCAACATACACATCCTGAACACCTGTTGTATGTTGTATGCAGTGGGTGCAGCCAAGCATTAGAACAGAGTTTCAGACACGCAGTAAAGGACCCCAGGGGCTGAAAAGTTAGTTCTATGTAAGAGAGTCAAGAAAGGCTTCACTGTACAGGTGACTTGGATCACAAAGAACAAGTTAGAAGTTTTCCGGAAAGATGTGTCAGGGAAGGCTAAGCATTCTCCAAAACACATGCTGCCCCAGCTAAGTTTAGAGTTGCTGCTGGGGAGCCACCACCTAAACAAAGACTACATTTCCCAGCATCCTTCACACTCAGATGATGCCACATGACTACTGGAGGTCAATGGAATGTGAGGAGGAACAGATGGAACAAGGGCAATTAAGAGGAAAGTAGTTAAGAATGGCTGTGCTTTCTCCACTGTCCCTTTCCCCTTTTTGCCAACCAGAAGAAAAGATGCTGAGGTCCCTGGGGATGGCAGGGCTGCAAGATGAAATGAGATGGGTCCCCAAATCACAGTGTGAAGTCACCTGCCAAGCAGAAGCAGCCGTTCCAGACTTCATGTGAGGTTAAGTCTACCATGTTTGAGTTTGTTACAGCAACAAGCATCACCAACTACTACAGCAGGGAAGGGAAGACAGGTGCTCTGGGCAGAGTGAACAAAGGCATGGTGGTGTGACAAAGTGTGGCCTGTTTCAGGGAATGGGGAAAGAGCTGACGGTGGCCAGAGCACTGGCTGTGTGAGGGCAGTACTGGAATTCAGAAAGCTCACGATGGTGACCACAGGAGGGAGGATCACGTACAGGGATTGTTTCCAGGGGCCCTGGTGTTGCTGGCGCTGCTCTCAAAGGAAGAGTGGAAGTTGTGAATGGTTTCCTGTAAAATCTGTCTCTCGCGTCCCTGTAGAGGAAATTGAAAACAGACACAAAGTCTTGTTAAATCTTTGAACTATTAGTTCAATTGACATGGTGTTGTTAATCCTCAACTAATACTTTAGAAACCTATGGGTGTCATGGGGAAATAAATTATCTGATTAAGAGAGTACTGAGTTTAATAAAAACACACTGAGTCAGAATGTCCCCTAGCACCCATAATCACAACACACAAGGCTAGAGAGGGCCCTCGAGACACAGGGGTCCAATCCCCCAGGCAAGGACAGGATGCAGAGCCCAGGAGCTGGACTGACTTGTCCTGGGTCACATGGCCTGCAAGGGAAGTTTCCTCCCCTGATTCACTGGGTGTCTTTCTAGCCCTCAGAGTTCCAGGGGATTGAGTGGGAGCTGAACTTCTTTCTGCTACAGAGAGTTTCAACTGCCTCACTCCCCCCTGCCCAAAAGCTGTCAGATTCCTCTCCACAGTGATTCACTTCTCACTCTATCCATGCAACATTCCCCCACATCCCCACCCCTTAACACACATGTTTTGAGATGTGAAAAAGGGAGGATGTAGAGGTTTTTTTGAGCCCAGAGAACATCTTCACCAAATACCTGGCTGAGAGGCAGTGATACATAGAAGTTAAGAGCAGGGACTGGAACCAAACAGCCTGGGTTCAAATCCCATTCCTCCCATTTACTAGCTGGGTGACCCTGAAAAAGACACTTAATCTCTCTGGGCCTTAGTTTCCTTATCTGTAAAATGGGATAGCAATGGTACTCAAATGGTTGCTGGTGACAGCAGACTCTGTGGGCAGCAGGAGACTGACAGGTCTTATTGTCAGAGAATAGCAGTGTGGACTCAGTGCGTGTGTGCATGCACGCATACACACGCATGTGTACACACACACACACGCATGTGTACACACACACACACACACACACACACACACACACACACACACACATATTAAGTAGGCTTCGTACCAGGTGGAGCTTGAACTCATGACCCTGGGATCAAGACCTGAGCTGAGATCAAGAGTTGGGTGTTTAACCAACTGAGCCACCCAGGTGCCCCCTAAACACACATTTTTTAAAAAGTTTTTTTAATGTTTATTTATTTTTGAGAGAGAGAGAGAGAGCGCAAGTTGGGAGGGGCAGAGAGAGAAGGAGACACAGAATCTGAAGCAGGCTCCAGGCTCTGAGCTGATGCAGGGCTTGAACCCACAAACCATGAGATCATGACCTGAGCTGAAATCGGACACTTAACCGGCTGAGCCACCCAGGTGCCCCCCCAAACACACATTTTTAAAACCAACAAATGTGGTGATCAAAATGTAAAGGAAATTAAAAATGAATAATCTCTGGTAGACTGTTTTCTGCTAAGAGTACAAAGAAAAAAAAAAGTCTACTGAATGAGCTCAACTTCAAACTTTTTCTTTCCGTGGACTCTCCAGACCCCAGAGCAAGAACCTCTACCACTGTTGAGGCCTTCCTGGACACCTGAGGGGGCAGTAAGACCTCCCAGCATGCCAATCCTTCAAAGTAAGTTAAATCACCTAGAAAAATGCCTCCCCCCAGCCCCAGGAGCCCAACAACACAAACCTGGAGGCAGCAGGGTAGAGAACAGAGCACCAGATGTGGCAGTCTGAGGACAGTTGAGTCCCCATTCTACCGCTCCCTAGTGGCGGCATCCCAGGCAGGGCCCCTTGCTGTCGGGTGTCCTATCTATAAAATGGGGACAGTAGGACATGTTGAGGCTGTGATGAGGCTCAACCCGAGATAATGAACGGGGTGACACTGTGCAAACTGCAGAGGGCTAAAAAATAAACAGGAGGGATGACAGCAATGTCATTATTAAACACTACCTTAGCCTTAATTGCCTGAGAAACGAGGTCAGGGAGAGACAGGGTTCCAGCACTCTGCCTCCTACTTAGGAGGGAGCCATAGATGATGAAAACCATAATTGTTCCCTGTATCCACTGCTGATTGAAGATGATGATAATAATTGCCCCTTAAAAACCCCTGAGCTTCAAAGGACCTGCCTGATAATTCTTAAAAGGGAAAAAGCGAATGGCCATTAAGAGTAGAAAAAAAGTGTTCAGTCTATCTAGTAGTTAAAGAAATACAAATTAAAACAAGGCACACTTTTTGGCCTCTCAAATTAATAAAAATTTAAAAACAAACTGATAGCACTCAATACTGGCAGGGATTCAATGATGCTGGAACCACACTGCCACAGCTGATGGGGATGTTCACTGGCTCTTTCTGGAAAGTAATTCAGGAAGAAGTGCCATATACCTTGATTTAGACTCTTTGACTCCAAAATTCCACTTTTAGACATCTATTCTGAGGAGATAATTAGAAAGCCTTATACACAAAGTTGCCCACTGCAGCACTCACTATTAATAGAAAGTTTGGATAGCTACATATCCAACAAGTAGGGATTCAAGATAAAGTAATTTTAGTATATCCATACAAATTTATCATATTAAAAAGATTTTTTAATGACATGGGTAACTGCATATATTTAATGTTAAACGAAGAAAGTAGGATGTAAAATTATAGATCCAAATTTATCTCAGCCACGGAGAGAAAAACATTTGGCACAAAACACTGCAGTGATCGTCCCAAATGTGAAAAGCATTGGTCTCTGGGTGGCTGGATCGTGACTTCTTTAAAAAGTCTTTTCACCTTTTTGGCACTGTGCAAATTTAGCAAAATGAATGTGCACTGCTTTGATGATCACAAAAAAATGGCAATACAGAGAAGCAAGGCTTAAGACCAACCAAAGGTGAAATGCAGGTGAGATTTCTGATTGACCTTCTCCAACATATAAACCATTTCAAACTAACAAGCGGTCTCAAGTACATTATCACAACTTGAATACTGGAGGGGGAAGGTTCACTCAGATCTATGACTTGTAAGACTGAGGATCCATACTGCTTTGCTGATATTTTTATGGCCAAGTTAGGTTTTTTGGCTTATATTTGTTTAAAAAAAAAATCTTAAGCTAAAATGTTCAAACTATTTTTGATTGTGCAAGAAATACATTTTACATCACAACCTTGTTATGAGCAAATATATACAACTGGAACAAATTTACCCTCCTACCTGCAAAGAATGTTGATATTTTCTACCCTATTCTGTTTTTAAGCTGCTGGTGGGGTCCCTGAGTGGCTCAGTCGGTTAAATGTCCAACTTTGGCTCAGGTCATGATCTCATGGTCCGTGAATTCAAGCCCCACATCAGGCTCTGTGCTGAGAGCTCGGAGCCTAGAGCCTGCTTCAGATCCTGTGGCTCTTCTCTCTGCCCCTCCCTGACTTGCACCCTATCTCTCTCAAAAATAAACAAACATTAAAAAACAATAATAAAAATAAATAAAAAGCTGCTGGTAAACCGCTAGATTGAGTGCACAACCCTCAAGCTTGGCAAGCTGTGGACCACAGCCATTAAGACATTACAACACTAGCGGGCAAGGAAATCTGGGCCTCCATTCTCTCATGGGTCCTCTCATGGGTTCTCGAATGTGTACAGAGCATCTGAGCCACTAGTGGGTACTCTCCTGGCTGAGGTTGGGTTGCAAAAGAAAAAGTATGAACACTGAAGGGAGAGTTGGTGCCCTACAGCAATCCAGAAAGAGGCAGGAGGCCCTGAAGTCAGAGTGAGGCAGGTCCAGCCCAGAACAGCTGAGGGCCAGGGCATCAGAAAGCCATCCAAAGGGCTCCAGAAAGCTCCTTTTGGCCTGTGGAGAAGCAGTACATAGCTCCAATGGGAACCCCCACGTAGTACAGAAGATAAACCTGTTTTGGTAATATTTAGTATTGCCCCAGTCATGTTTTTGTTCTATGGCACACTGTGATACATGGTGCTCACTTCCACAGGACTTTGTTTGGTGGCTCAGAACTTCGCTCTGCACCCGTTTCCATGCGGAATCACCTGACTTTGAGGGTGGGCGCTGCCCGTGGGAAGAACGTGGCTGGGACAGAGCAGACCCTCAGTCTGGCAGGTTGGAAGCACCCAGGTCTCCTGGTTGGGAGCTGATCAGCTGGTGCCCCCAAATATCACTCTTATGGAAGGAATGTGTCCCCCCGCCCCCCAATTCATATGGTGAAACCCTACCCCCGGTGTGATGTATGAAGAGGTGGGGCCTTTGGGAGGTGATAGCGTTTAGATGAGGTCATGAAGGTGGGGCTCCCATGATGGCCCCAGTGCCCCTATAAGAAGACAGCGCTGGCTTCCCTGTTCCCTGCCGTGTGAGGACACAATGAGAGGTTGGCAGTCTGCAATATGGAAGAGGACTCTCACAGATATCGACCATGCTGGCAGCCTCCATGCTGTGAGAAATAAATTCCTGTTGTTCACAAGCCACCCAGGACATGGTCCTTTGTCATGCAGCCCGAACCAAGACCACCACCACCAGCTGTCCTGCCTTTTGCTTCTCTAGACTGGGCTTTGTTTGGTACAGGATGCAGACTGTCACAGAAATAGAGTATGGAGGCAATGAATTTGAGAGAAAAAGAAAAAAGGTCCCAGTTTGTACGAATATTAAGAAAAATGTTCTCCTGTGGAGTGGACCTGAGCTCTTCCACTCTATGGCAGCAGTTAAGCTTCCTGAGATTTTCAAGCCAGCCCAGTCTGCCTTTTATCTGGGATCCCAGACCACAAAGGCCATGGCTGCCAAGGGCAGAAGGGAGGTTCTGGAAGCATTCGCAGCTACTATCTACCATGCCCTGGGCCGGGCTCCGGCAGCGTCCAGCTCCTGGCCTGTCCCCCCACACCTTCCATGGTCCTCCCTGGCCCTACATCTAGTACCTTATCCGTCTTTGCTTGACCGGCTTGGCTTGCCCCACCACCCTCCTCTCCTTGGCTCGCACATCTGGCCCCTGGAGGCCACAGCATGAAGGGTCCTGTAACCCCTGAGCCACATCCACATCACTCACCTACCTCCTCCCCAAAGCCCTTGCCCTTACTTGACTGGGTCCCCCTCAGCCACCCTGAGGGCCTTATCTGTCCCCTGCGGCCTCCCCTCACACCAGACTTCTTGCTCTCAGCTTCCACACATTTTTAGTTCTTGAGATGCACCACACACCCTCTCACCACAGGGTCTTTGCACATGTGTGTCCCTCCTCCTGGTCTGCACTCTTTTAGCCCTCTACCCCATGGTTCCCATCTTTCTTAAGATCCCAGCCCTCCTGCCACTCCCTTGGGAATGTCTTCCAGGACCTTGCCTTTCCAGCCCCCACTTGAAGTCCGGAGCTCTCCTTAATGAGCACTGAGTCAGGGCAGCAGAGTGGTCAGCACACAAACTCTGGGTTCCAGTTCTGGCTCTGCCACTTACCAATTATGTGATTTTAGGCAAGTTCCTTAACTGCTCTGTGCCTCAGTTCCTCCATCTATGAACCGGAACTGGCCTCAGTGGCTTCCGTGAAGTTAAATGTACGACTAGATGTGACAGGCTCAGAGCAGGGCTGGGCACAAAGTGTGCTCAGTGCTTAACACTCACAGAGTGCCTGGGACACGGCGGAGAGGCAAGGGTTATTTTTCAGGACGAATTAATGCTCCAAAGACTCTAGTGCTTGCTCCGGTTGATCGGTGCTCCATGAGCCACCCGGGTGTGCCCTTCCTACCAGCCCAGACTGGCCACCTCCTGCAGCCCCCATGCCAGCCTCACCCCCTCCCCTCCTCATCTACAGTGGAGCAGAAGCGGTGCTGGCTGGGGGCCAGGGCTCACCGTCCGTCTCTGAGCCTCAACTTCCCCGTCTTAAAGGGAGGCGGCCCAGGCCCACGTTACAGGTGAGCAGTGTTTGGGAACAGGCTACTAACAGCAGAAGAAGAACAGACAATAAAGACTAAAGGAAAACGCAAGCGCTGGAAGCACTGCCAACCGAACCACTCCGAAGGACCCCCTCACAGCCTATGAACAGGCAAAATAATGACGACGACGGCAGCAATAAAAACCACCACCCCCAACCCCGGCAGGGAGGCCCGGAGCCACCCCCATGCAGCTCTGTGCTGGGGGAACACAGGAAGAAGACCGGGGTGCAGGTCCTGCCTCGCCTTCCCGCCCACCTCTCCACCTGGGCACACCTCCCTCCCTGGGGCTCTGCTCCCTCGCCAGCCAGCCAGCAGCCAGCCGGACAAGGGAAGTGTGAGGACACGGCCTCCTCAGATTTACTGGGGAAATGTACGTGAAGTGTCTTGTGAATGATAAAGTGCTACATGAATATTTATTTGCTGTTGGTGCTCTAAGTCTGTTCAATATTTGCGTGCACACCCGGCAAAACACACAAAGAACCATGAGACCGGTCACGCTCTCTGACATAACCTCGTATTGTGGAACACAGCCTGAGGAACAAAACAACAGAAGAAAAAGGAGCAAGGCAGAGACATCCATTATGGTGCTATCTGTAATGGCAAAACCCCAGACACGGCATCACTGTCTTACAAGAAGGGGACTGTCAGGCAAAGCGTGAGAAAGCAACAGGTAAGCAAGTTGTACACACTGTTGGAGTGAGACAGAAAAGTCCATCCTGTGTTAGAGAAAAAAGCAAAGCTCAAGGGAGCTTGAATAGCCCAACAGCAACTGTCCTACTAAGGTGTGCAAAGTGAGTGGTGGTTTTTAATTGTTTTCACATGTATGCCTTTGGGGGGGTGGGGAGCATGGTTCATCTTTAGTTTAAAGCTGATGAAACAGAAATTTAACATTAGATAAAAATGCAGGATGCCAGCAACAACAGCGATTGACGGGTCTGTGTGTACCAGGGGCGCTGGCAACAGCCCCAGTATCCCTGGCCATCTCAACAGATGAGGAAAGCAAGACTCAGAGAGGTGACGACTTCTACGTAATACGGCAAGTAAGGGGAGGAGTGGGTTCACACCCAGGTGGGCCTGACTCCAGGGCCCCTATTAAACAAGGGCTCTGTTTCCATTGTACACTGGAGGGCAATACCCAGCCATGTGGGTTGAAATTACCACAGGGAATATTTTAGCTGAATCTATGGGAAGGGACAGGAAGAGGAACAGGGAGGCAGTGAGTGCTCGGTCATGAGAAGCATGCACAGGGGGCCATCCTCTGCCAGACGTTCTAGAGGAGATGAAATCAGACCAGAAACATCCTTGGGAACACTGAGGGCCTGGGATCCTAGGTAGTGAAGCTCTCCACTGGAAAAAAAGATTGAGAACAATACCTTGCCTGCGTTCAGTTCAGAAATTGCTGCCAAAATCTGCTGCCTGGACCCATCTGTCTTAATACCCAGCTCCTTCAAGTCGCCGTCGGTAAGCGTGAGGAATGCTTCCATATCCACCTGGAAAGAGAGAAGGGGGATTTGCTACCATCTGCTTGACGCCACACCTCTTTTTTCCAACCACAACAGAAATATCTTGATTATGGACTATTAGTGTTTATTAGTAGTGAGTTAATTATGATTTACTACTTCCAATTCCTGACTTTATCATGAAAGTTTAGCTGAAAGTATTATGAAGGACTAACTCTCCTCAGCTCTAGGGCTGGGAATTTCAGGACAGGTGCATTTTGGAAAGACCGTGACCATTTAACAAGGAAGGAGAGTTCCGAGACAGTGATGTGGGTGGCCAGAGCGGTGCAAATCCAAATCTGCTGTTAGAAAGTTGGCTCCAATGTTGCTGCACTTCTGATGATATTGGGAGCTGCGCAGAAAAGGTGCACACATGGCGGTACTCACCACGTTTCCCCCCAGAAGACAAGGGAGATGCAGACTGTGGAAAGACAGAGAAAATAAACAAGCAGAAGCGATAAAGGGAAGAAGGGCCATGGAGATCTGAAGCGGAGGAGGGCTCAGAACAAGGGCCACTCAAAGCCATACGACCCTTGGCTTCTAATGGTGAAATCCTAAAATTCCTGCTTGGGCCTCAGCTCCAGGCGAAAAATTAATGGGCCTCCCTTCTATACAATGGATATGTTGCAGTCTGTCCTTCTAAGGTCAGATGTGGCTTGGAAGAAGCAAGCACACCCACCCTCACACACACAGGGTGGAGGACAGCCCTACACACCCCAGATCTGTCCTGGGGTCTCACTGTCAGGTGGGGATGGGGAAGACACAGACCAAGTCGTGTACACCTTGCAACGTAAGGTGAGTATACTACCATTCCCCATTTGGGGGCAGGGAAACTGAGGCATGGAGAGATTCAGTTCCCAAAGTCACGTGATGAGTCAGTGAAAGCCAAGATTTGAACCCAGGCAGTGGGCCCCAAGAGTCCTTGCTCTTCTCCACGGGCTCATGTCACCCTATGATGCTGCAGCCGCTGTCCCAGTGTTCCCTCCCGGGATTCCCCAGGGCAGCAGCCTCCTTGTTAATAGCACTTGATGCTCCCTAAGAATGAACAGGTTCTGTCATCTGTACAGGCTCTCCAGTATTAGACCCCAAAATGGCAGTCACCTGGGAGAGGTGGAAGGGCTCTGGCCGCCCCAGTCTCATCTCCAGCCCATGCCAGGGCGAGGAGGCACACACGGACAGAGCCTCAAGTCCCACCTGCTGCCTGGGGGCCCCGGGCAGGTACCTCACCTCCGTTTCCCATCTGAAGCATACGAATTCTCTCACCATCTCACTTACAGGTGGTTGTAGGTTCTACAGGGAGTTTACGCAAAGCTTTGCAAACTACATTTATAAATTATAAAGATACTATCGTTTTATGTTATATTATACTGGTGCCATTTAAAGTAAAATTGCCTGGGTGGCTCAGCTAGTTAAGCATCGACTTCAGCTCAGGTCATGATCTCACAGCTTGTGAGTTCAAGCCCTGTATCGGGCTCTGTTCTGACAGCTCAGAGCCTGGAGCCTGTTTCGGATTGTGTCCCCCTCTCTTTCTTCTCCTCCCGCGCTTGTGCTCTGTCTCTCTCTCTCTGTCTCTCAAAAATAAACAAACATTAAAACAAATTAAAAAAAAAAAAAA